AGCTCGCGGAGCAGTCGTCGGCCGTGGGCTCCTGGCGTCTGGTCGCGAAACGAGTCTGGGGAAAAGATCCCCTCCGTGGTGGGGAAATGCCGGGCTTACAGATACGCAAGGCTTTTCTATTGTATTTATTTATGTATTGATTGATTCATCGATTGCTCGCGCGACCGCCAGGTGCGTCAGGTAGAGGGATAAAAAACGCTGCTTCCCGTCGTGGGGACTAACCCTTTTCGGCTCGACCCCCGATGGCGGTGCGCAGGTAAGAGCGCCACGCACTCGCTCTGTGGGTAACGGCCGAGATTTTTATTCTTATTTTTTGCCTCGGCTGGCCCGGGCAGGGAAAAGGGGAGAAAAATCACGTTTCACCATAAAACTTTGCTCTCCGGGGCTGTTTCGTGCTGCCCAAGTAGCGCAGCGGTGAATGGAAGTTGAAGACGGTTCGTTTGCAAGCAGCGAGGATTAAGAAACAGGCGATTGCTTGAACCTTTTTTTTTTTTTTTTTAATCTGCCCTTATTTCCGATTTTTCCTGTTTCTAGGTGACCTTTTGGTTGCAGGGATACCAGGTACCATTAGATTTTTATTTGACCGTTGCTGTGGAACTAGTTTCATGCTTGGTTGATTGGAGACTCGGGCTGCAGAGGGGCTGTGTGTGTTGATGTGTTTGGGGTGAAATACGTCAGTCCCGAATGCCACCGCTCGGGTGCCCCTCACAGGGCTTGGGGAGACCGCTGTGCTCACAGTGTGAGCTACTTTCTACAAAACGGCAGTCTGAGTTCTGGTACATAGCATGTCTTCTGCTTTTATTGTCCGTGTATGTTTTATTTTAGCCCATGGTCACATTCACATGCTAAAACTTAATAGGAAAGCATGTCTGTGCAATATGTGGAGTGTAGGTACCGTGGATAAGCATACTAGTCAAGTTGAGTTCTAATAAGTTCTACTTAAAGAAAAACAGAATATTCTCACGCGATCGGCAGCCCGTAAGCTGATAGTTCTAGTATCTGCTGAAACACTTCTGTCACTTAAAACGATGCTCACAAGAAATAGCTTATCTTGCTGCATTCTAATTAATTTACATCTGTCATTTTGAATCTAACTTTTGTCAGACCGCACCATCTCTCTCCTGATTTTTCTTGATCCTCTCAAATAAATTTATCAATAGTGCCTCTCTCACTGAAAGTGCAGGACCAAGTAACTTTTTTTTTCCCCTCCCCTTATTTGACCCAGCTTTTTATTTGCTGAAGTTCTGAAGCATGCTTACCTATTGATTGTGCTTAAAGTTAGAAATTTGCTGCTGTGCAAAAGATCAAACACAGCCCATGCACCATTTTAATATTAGGCCTAAAGTGGGAGTAGGGGATTTGCCGGTACTTTTCAGAAGGTTGAAATTCACTTTTATCCTAATTTTAAGCTGTAACAGACTTTCCTGGTTTTCAGAAGTGCTGGTCACTCACAGCTGCAATTGATTTCTCTAGGAATTAGCCTTGCTCAGCACTTAAATCAGGGGTAAGCGATTATCTGGGAGTGGCTTTATTTTAAAGTAGGCACTTCTGTCTGAAAATTTTAGGCTAAAGGAATGTGATTTGATACATATGATGATGTTCTAATAAAATTTTTGCTTTAAAGGAATGTAGGCATAGGGCCATAGTTCTTTCTAAGTGCAAGAAGCATTCAAATCATTCATTTTATGTTTTTTTTCCCCATTTTTCTGCAGTTTTGCTTAAGATAAAGTTTATAAGTTGTGTTAAGTAAAGGGATTAGGCACTACATATTGAATAATAAATGTAATAAAGGAAAATCTTTCTATAATATTGAAATTATAAGTATTGTAAGCATTTATATTTGAGTTTCTACAGTTTTAATTCTAATAGTACTTCAAGCTAATTCAGTAAAATCATGTTTTGTTATCTATATGCTATTTTCAAAATAATGAAAGCTAGGTCATGCATCTTTTTCCCCTCCCTACAGTGAGCAGCATGCTGGACAAAAGGATTTTAGGTTTTTAAAGTCGTCTTTAGAACAAGGTTTACCTTGTGTATTTGTCTCGCTGACTGCCATGGAGGCTTGTAGAGTTATGGAACCGTTTAATGCCTCTGCGTCCCCACCTAATCACTGTCCCTTTTTCCATGGCAGAAGCACTTGCCATTCAGCTTCTGCCGTGCTTCTCATCCCATCCCTCTGGGTCTGCCCGGGTGGCCGTGCAGTAAGTTTGCATAACTGAAAGGGCAAGTCAGAGCCCAGGCCTCTAGAAATGTTGCTTTCTTTTAATCATGCAGTATAATGAAGGATGCTTTAAAAACAAAATATCACAGCAGTCTCTTTTGCCAGTTTTGCAGTCCTTATACCAAGGTAATACGAGCTGTCCGGAGGAGCAGAGCTGACAATGTCTGAATTCTGTGGACTTAGTGTCTCGGGTACCGCTAGCATGTCTACCTTTCAGTACTTCTGATTGGCCTCCTTCCTTCCTGCCCTCTGCTTTTTGTTTTGTTTTGTTTCCTCCTTCTGTGTCCCTTTGCAGCCCCCTGGATGAGGGGCAGCCTGTGGTACCACTGGTGTTGGCCACAGCGCTGTGGCCAGCGAGGGTGGGCAGTTCTGCCCCTCCGTTGTGGAGCTGTTCCTTCGAGGTGGTGGTGGGCTGATAGGGGCTGACTATAATGTGGGTGTTTTCTAACTGCTGACCAGTCTTTTCTCACAACCTGTAGGACTGTCATATCCGTGAGACCTTTTCCCTGAATGTGCTTGAAAGTGGAAAATGGTTCAAAAATGATTGATAGAGCAGGCAAACAGGACTGGCAAGCAGCCATATGGGAATAGACAGAGTGAACGGATATGTCTTGTTTCCTTAGGAAATTAGGAAATTTCCTTAGGAAATTGAACTTTGTCATTTATTAACTTTACTTTTTTGTGTATGTTTTTACTAGTGATGGAGACAAAAGCATACCACAGCTACCCAGAAGGCTTAGATATGGATAGACGGTGGGGTCAAGTTTCTCAGTCCGTGGAGTATTCTTCTCTAGGTGCGGGAGAGCAGACTGATAACAGTAACTACATGGAGATTGTAAGCGTAAGCTGTGCTACCGGCGCTTTTCCAAACAGCAGTGCTCAAGGAAACAACAAAGAAAAACCTGAACTACTCACTTGCCTGCAGCAAGACAGCCATCCACCTGGTATTTTGCCCTCTGACATCAAAACTGAGACAGAGTCGAAGGAGCTCTCGACAACTGTAGCTGAATCTATGGGTTTATATATGGATTCGATACGAGATGCTGATTATCCCTATGAGCAGCAGAATCAGGGGAGCCCAGGGAAGATATACCAGAATGTGGAGCAGCTGGTAAAGCTCTACAAGGAGAATGGCCACTGCTCTTCCCCCCTGCACGGTGCCAGCAGGCCCTTGAGGTCTTTGATGTCGGACTCCAGTAGCACCATGAATGGTGGTGCCATGCACGCGATTGTCAAAAGCCCTATAATGTGTCAAGAGAAAAGTCCGTCGAGCTGTAGTCCTCAGAATATGAATTCCTCAGTGTGTAGTCCTGCTGGGATTAACTCTGTGTCCTCAACTACTGCTAACTTTGGGAATTTTGCAGTGCACAGCCCAATTGGCCAGGGAACTCCCTTATCCTGCTCGCCTAACATTGAAAACCGGGGGTCAATGTTGCACAGTCCTGCACATGTTAGCAATGTAGGGTCTCCACTTTCTAGTCCTATAAGTAGCATGAAATCACCAATTTCTAGTCCTCCCAGCCATTGCAGTGTGAAATCTCCTGTCTCAAGTCCTAATAATATCACCATGAGATCTTCTGTGTCCAGTCCTGCGAATATGAACTCAAGAAGCTCCATTGCCAGCCCTTCCAATGCCAATAACAGGTCCACTCGTTCTAGTCCGGCTGTTAGCACTGTGGGATCTTCTATCTGTAGCCCCGTAAACAATTCTCTAGGATTTCCTGCTTCTGGCACACCTGCTGGACCTAGCAGAAGCAAGGACATTGTTCCTAGTCCAGAAACAAAAGAGAAAGGTGCTCAAGAAATCACATTTCCTAAAATGGAGGAAATGGAGAATGCCATCTCAAGCAACACTCAGATGAACCTTGTTCAGTTTATAAAACCCGAACCAGATGGTTCATTTGGTAGTGCATGTATTGGCGAAAGCAGTAAAATAAATTCTGATTCCCCATTTTCAGTACCAGTAAAGCAAGAATCAACTAAACATCCCTGTTCTGGTACCTCTTTTAAAGGGAATCAAACAGTGAATCCTTTTCCATTTACAGATGGCTCATATTTTTCTTTTATGGATGACAAAGACTACTATTCTCTTTCTGGGATTTTAGGACCACCTGTTTCTTCATTTGATGGAAATTGCGAAGGTAGTGGCTTTTCAAATCCAGGCCTGCCTGTGGGAATTAAGCAGGAGCCTGATGACGGCAGCTATTATCAAGAGAACAGTCTACCATCCTCTGCCATTGTTGGTGTCAATTCAGGTGGACAGTCGTTTCACTACAGGATTGGTGCCCAAGGCACGATATCCTTGTCACGACCTGTTGCTAGAGAGCAGACGTTTCAGCACTTGAGCTCTTTTCCCCCAGTCAGTACGCTTGTGGAGACGTGGAAATCTCATTCGGAGTTGGCATCCAGAAGAAGTGATGGGTATCCAGTTCTAGAATACATTCCAGAAAATGTGTCAAGGTGAGTAGACAAATTACTTCATACATATATATATATATAGCATAAGCAAGAAGTGAATTAAAATGGGAGCTGGCGTGATATTTCTCAAGCTGATGCGTAGCTCTTTGTCTGCATTTCAATTCTTGTCATTAGAATTGCTGGTTTCTTCCTTGCTATATTTTATTCTGGTTTTAATAAAATCAAAGTTCTCGCTTTAATATTTAAAAAGAACATATTATATTCTATTGTTATTAGACTTTATATTGTAGCTTTAGTATGTTTATGAGTTACTGCTACTATAAATGTTGTTTTCGCCATAATGAGAGCTTAGTAAAATTGTTCTCATGTGTCCAATAATGAATATTCTATCTTATTTGGTGCTTGAATGTGTTTTACCTCAGATGAAATGTTGAGATGAGAATAAAAAAGTGATAATATCAAAAATCTATTTTTGTAAGGATGCATTGTTAAAATGTTTACACCAGGCTTTAACTGGTTAAGTTTAAAAACTAAACTTCAGAAGCCTGTGGCAACATATTATTTCTGTATTTTAACTGTAGGAACATTTGGTTTGTATATATAGAAAAATTCCTCCAGAAGGAGGAAGGCTGTTAAAACTTGGCGCATTTGAAAAGGATAAATGGATAATCTGATCTCCTTACTTTTGGTGGAAGAGAAATGTGCAAGTGTCACTTGAATTTGTACTCCTTGTCCAATTCTTGGAAACACATACTTCAAAAAATTGATGTTCATATATTTTATATAAGACACTTTCATAAACTAGTTTCATAATTGATATTAAAAATTATTACATGTATATGGCAATATGACTGAGTTGCAATACTTACATAACCTCTTCATGTGTCAAACTGACTCACCTAAACTTCTTTCTTAAAGCTCAGTGAAATGGACAATAACAGAATTTGCGTTTACTTTTTTCGTACTTTTTGTTTGCATGACTTTCTCATCAAAAGATTTGATCTCATCGGAAGATACATGACTGTCTTCAGTGAATGCAACTTATACCTTATTCTTAGAGTAGGGGAAGAAGGGTGTGTGTCTGAACAAAACAGCTGCTTCCATATTTGTATGGTTCAAAAAATTTCTGAAAAAACCCCAGCATGGCACTGAAAAACATCCAGTGAAGCAATGGTGCTTTGGAGGGTGGAAAATAGTCTACCTATCTAGAGTTCATAGGAGGAAAAAAGATTTAAATATTTCAATTTTATATCCAGACAGATGGAGGAAACATGGCCAATATCTCTGCATTTCCCTTACTGTTTTCCAGGCTGTATTTGACTTTTGATTCAGCTATTTCGAATACAGTCTGAGAAATGCACTTTAGAAAGATGTCTTTCTCAAATGCCAGTATCTTGCCTTCATGCTAAGCTTGACACGTAGCGAGATATTTATTATGAGATGAATTTGCCCTTAAAATACTTACTGGATTAAGGCAAACCAAGTTGTTACTACTTCATAGTGTTTTATCTAATGAAATTTTCATAAATTAGGTTGTTTATATAGTGGGAAAAGTTCCCCAAAAATGTCCAAATGTGAAGAACCAATATTTTACTGCCACTGTTTTGAGCAGTGTCACTTTTGCAAGTAGCTGCTGCCATCCATGAAGGCTACTGTCCACACTGAGTTGAGGTTGTCATCTGTCAGAGGGACAGGCATGGGAAATATTGGTAGGAGCATGGTTATTACTACATACTTTTTAATGACAATTTCTTACTGGGCTTTTGAAACAATTTTTTCTGATCTGATACTACTTCATGGTAGCTCTTTTCATCTGTTTGCCTCTAAACTAATAGATAGATAAATGAGATCACAAGACTTGATATAATTGTGCTTTTTATCTTTGTTTTCTAAGCTCTTGTATTTTAGGTACGCAGGTGAGTGTAGCTCTTGCTTTGCATGATCCAAATATTGAAATTTTTAATGCTGGGAGCTCTCACCATGCATGTGTGGAATTCTGTTTAGATTATGATCTGCAGGGTTATAACACTTGAGACATGCTGATCTCTATTTCAGATTAGGACATGTCATCATTTCAAATCTAACTTAGCCCTGTTATTTAAGTAAATGTTGCTGTTAATTTGCTTGTTAATGGTTTTGTGCTAGCAGGTGCAGCTGGAGACCTGTGCCCTTAAAAATTTCATAATATTTTTTTGTAGAAGTCATTTTAACATAGCAGATTTGAAAGGAAAGTAAACTTTCAGATGAATTTAAGCAAGAGTAAGAAATGACTTGTAGAGTTTTGTAGGGAATATCATTTGGTTTTCCTATTATTTTCTACTATGGATTCATTTTATGAAAATAATGAGTAATTAAAGGAAATGTGACTTTTGTTTGCACCGAAGAAAAATCTCTCTTTGAAGAGAATAGAGACCTGTTCAGGAATCTCTCTACTGGTGAGGCAAGTCATAATTGCATACGCAGAAGCTCATTACTGCTAATGAGTCTCAATTTCAACTTTGCCCTTGTCACATTCCAGCTAAAACAGAGGGGAGCGTACATAAGTGTGTTTGTGTTCCCAGGTGTTGTGATAAGCCAGACACAGCTTAAAGCCATGTCAGACGCAACATCCCAATGTGGGTTTCAGCCATCCCATGTTGACACGGTGTTGGGATTAAAAAGTCTCCTTACGTGTTGTCATAGCGTCCAGATTGCACCTCTGTATGCTTTGCATCAAAGCCAGATTGTTGTTTGCTCAGTTGCCTTCCCCCCGCCTGCCCCAAGTATGTCAATCATATCAGGAGTCAAATGTTTTTCACACTTTAAGTACATTGTTAGCCTTTCAAAATCTGCAACAGGAAGCTAGAATATTTTAAATCTTCTATTCCATACATTACATATATCTTGTTTTGGCAGCAGCATTATTTTCTGAAACTCAATATTGTACCTTATTTAAGCTGCTTCTAGTTACAGTTTATATGGTGAAAATGATTGGGTGCTTCCAGGAATGAAGATGCTTCATTTTAAGAATTGATATTAAGAATGTTACTGTAATTTCTTTTCTTCTCATGAGTATCAATTTGTATTAAATTGGAACTCTAATGAGTTATGCTCGCTGATAGTGTCTTGTAAAGTATAGATATTTAAAATGCCTTGCTAGTGTGCTTACTTAGCATTCACTGTCAGAACATTTTCCTTTTTCTTTTTTTGACTTATGCAGTTGTGTTTCTTTTTAATATAGTTGGTGGTAACCTTTTATTATTTATCATGTTGCAACTTATAGTGTGTGAGAACCAGAGTTTCTTCAGCAAAAACATATTTCCTTACTCTCTTTTAAATTTTTGTAATGCTAATGTGCATGCAGAACATGTCTGTCTTTGAAGGATTTTACAAGTTTTATTTTTAATAGGGTGAATCATACCTGTGTGTCTGTGTGTACAGATCCCCTTTCCCCCGAATGAATGACATTTCTAAGGAATAATGGTTTATAAACTAACTAATAGCAAGGTGGGCTTGAAAATGAGGTATGTGTGATTGTGTGTTGTTGCTGACAGACATCCCATTAAGGTGGTTGCTCATCTGAATCGGGATACAATCCGAAGGCTCATGATCGTGCTAATTATGTAATTTTCAAAATGGCCTAGGAAAATGTCACGGTTACTTGAAACAACAGTAAGAATTGTGGCGGATGACCTTTCTGCTGCATTAGCTCTTACCTAAAGCATTTTGCAAATATACTTTTTCCCTCTAATTTCCATATCAACTCATGTATGTGCATATGCTCCCCGTTCTTGGCTTGGCTGTTGTGGTGGGAGCGAAGGATTGATGTTCCTGCTGCTCTCCTTTCATAGGAGTTGGAATTTGATGGTATTGAAATTTGTTGTATTAGACTAAGAAGTCTCTCTCTGTTATGTGGGAGCAGAGCTGCTGTCAAGCTCCACTGCTGGAAAAGGTGGACCAACAGTAGAGCTGCAAAGAGCTATACAGGCTCCTAAATAGTTGTTTCTGTTTGCCAGCCTCTTTGGGGAGAGGTGAGGCAGGAAGATGAAGTATTTTTGTTTTGGCAAGGAACTGCTAGTGTAACGCAATGTGCGATGGAGTCACAAAATTAGTGACATTTGTTGTCATTTAAAAATTTACTTTTTAGAAATAGATTACATATGATAAGTATATTGTTGCAGTTGTTACTGTTCGGACCAGGAGGTTGTTCTTCAAAACATTGTTTCGTGATATTTTAGAGTCTAACTTAAATCTGTTAAAGTTAGGTGAAAGACTGTTGTTCACTCCTTAAGATTTATAGTCAAAATTTTAAGCAACCATGTTGATAATGTTTTCCAGGGCCGTATAATCATGAGCCTTTCGTGTGGGTCAGGACTTTCAGTGCAGAGTCCAGCATCTGCAGGCAGAACTCAGCTGTGTGTTCTGGCTCCCAAGGAGGCAGAGTCAGCAACATAAACCAACTTTGTGGTAGTCCAGAGGATAGGTGGAACAACAAAGGGAAGAGGGATGGGATAGGGAGACGTCATTTATAAAACCTTCCCTGACTTGAATGGGTGATTCTGGTTAAAATCTGATAATTTTTTTTTCTTCAGGGAGGTAAACCACCAAACAAAAAAGGAGAGGGGGAAAAAAAGGGAGGAGGGAGCAGGAAACAAAACAACCCCCCCACCTATGTTAAATATTATCTAGAATAGTCGCCATCAGAATCATACCTGCCAGAGAGATTAAAAATGTGGTAAATATTATTTTTAAAATTCTTGATTGACCTTGACCTCTGTGTATTTTAGTGATAAACCTTATTGGGAAAAATACTGAACTATTAAAATACTCCTTGTGCTTGAGGGGATTGTTTCCCCAGCATGACCCCCTGGAGCTTCCCACAAATTTTCAGTGCAATTTTTTCAACAATAGTTCTGTCATATTGCAGGCATACTTCTAAATCTGTATGTTTTCAATTAGAAAAATAACACTTTTGTATTTTTATATATAGTTTTATTAGTTTCCACTACTAGAAGTTTGTTTTATCTAAATTATAAATATGTATATCTTTATCCCTTGTTGAA